CCAGCCTGGTCTACAGTTTTATTGGAGAAATTTAGTCACTGGCTTTTATACTTAGGAAATGTTGGTAAATTGATAAGTGAGTCTTTAGTACTTGCTGGTCCAGTGATGAGTATGTAGCTCTAGTTGGCCACTATGTGTGGAAAAATATCTCAACAGTTGTATGTGTTCTACTCATGAGAGGTTGTGGTTTTGTTTTTTGTTTGTTTTTGTTTGTTTTCAGGATTAGAATGGATGGAAATCCTTGTCACATACTACAGTGCTGGACTGGGATTTTGCTTGCATAGTGTAAAAGCCTGAGCACCAGCCACTTCTAACCTTACAGAGAGCCATCACCTCTTCTAATCCTGGCAACACAGATGGGTCTTGATATAGAATGTTTATCCTTAATTTGACTGTGCTCTTAGAGGCTTGAATCTTTTCCTAGTGGCTTGCCACACTCTTATGTGATCTCTCTCTCTCTTTCTCTCCTTCCATTCCTCCCTCCTTCCCACCCTCTATTTTATAAACATTCCTGTGGGGATTGCTATTCTCACAGCCTATGGGTAGACATCTAGGACATGACCCCATACAGGAAGCAAAATGTTCTGTCATATTGGCCTGTAGCCAATGGCTAAACAGGAAGCACTGGACTCTAGCACTAAAAATAAAAGATCTTGGGTTAGAATAGAGATCACTGATAGAGAGCTTGTCTAGTATTCACAAGTCTACAGGTTAAATATCCCAAACTATAGATAAAAAATAAAAAAGAAGATATAATTACTGCAATTTTCTAATACTCTGGATTTTTCATTCAGCAAGAAGCTGACTACTGCCAGAAGAATCAGGAGCCTAGACTAGACTGCCATCCTTAGACGACATTCCCTTACTGAGACTCAGATGACAAAAAAAAAAAAAAAAAAAAAAAAAAAAAAAAAGAAAGAAAGAAAAGAAAGAAAGAAATGATTGTGGAACCAGTAGGCAGCTCTACTGGAGTAGGAAACAGTGAAGAATGTGACTAGGCACAGCCCCAAGGGTTTTCTTTCTTTGACAACTGTGAGATTTTTTTCCCCTACCACATGACTTAAGAAAAAGCAGCTTTAAACACCATTCTACATATTATATACAAAAAAGTACAGCGAGCAGCAATAGGAAATGCCTAAGTCCAATCTAAGAGCAATGGCATCACGTCCCGTCTGCTATTTCAAAATGACCAGAACACCAAAAAGATGCCATCTGTGGGATTTATGGCTGCAGAACTGTGAGTCACCCACTTCAAGTGGATACTGAATACCTCCAACATGTCACTCTTGAAATTGGACTAGGTCTTCCTTCCTCAGTTGGAAAAAGGAAGAAAGGAAACCTAAGTGCACACTTTCAGAGGAGGGCAGAGAATTCTGGGTGGTAGCAGAAGCCAGGTGTAGCTTAAAGAATACAGAGAAGCCAAGAATAGGGCAAAAGATACAGATCTTCATTTTGGCAATTCTTCTGTGGTCTGTTTTGCTTAATGAGTAAGAGAACAGGGGCCCAGAGAAAACTATCAAACCAACCGTGTCATCTAGGACTAGGCCAAACTTAGGATAGGATGTCTGTCCGTAATTGTTGGGTAGCCATTTGATATCCTATATTAGACAAACTGAATATTCAATGTATTAACTGTCATTCCAGTGTCTGTCTGATGGCTTCAACTTCCTCTTCTCAGATTATGTGCAAATATTAAGGGAGAGTACGTCTTTTCACAAGAGTTAAAGCTGAAATTAAGAGAACAGAAATAAAAACAGACAGAACTCTTACAGCTATAACAAGGAACAGAAACTCAATGGAGCAGATCTGCCAAGCAGATCCGTGGGCAGCACTACAGAGAATACTGGGTTTCTCCAGCACATTGGGCATGATCTCCACACTGGGCACCTGGCCAGGGGGCTGCAGAATGCATGGCAGTAGACAGAAGGTCATTGAGAAGGAAGAAGAATGCGTGTGTGGGACAGTTAAAGGTTAAGTTGCTATAACCTGGGTTAAAGCAAAGCAAGATTTTTTCATCCACTGGGTTAAATCACTGTACTGAAAATAACTTGGGAATAAAGAGCCCTAAGAAGGCTGGTCACAGTACAGAATGTCAATCTGCTCACCAGAGACATGACCACAGGGTGCATTAAGTTCACAGGCCTTGTGTTTCTCAAACTCGAGCTGCCAATGTCTGTCAGTACTAGTGGAAAAAGACCAGAAGGGAGGGCAGGTGGCAGATTCCTAAGGCTGTGGCCACAGCAATAATGGTCAGGTTCAGATAGCATTTGCTGGCCCTGTCTTGTTTCAACTTCTCAATCTCTGCTCATCCTTATGAGTCTTAAATATTTATGCTGTGCCCAAGGGAGCTTTACACCTCAGCAGCACATGAAGTTTGTTTTTTCTCATTCTCAGTGGAATTAGCCTCCCAGTCATAGCACCTTTAGCCGTCTAGGTTTCATCATGCTGAATTGTTTTGTCCTTAAGTTTTCACAACACCTTTCTCCTAGTTTGGGTCAAACATTATAGGTTGAGTTAAGCATTTCTTAGCACCCTGCTCAGGAGCCCCAGGGTTACTAGAAACACCTTCATGATACTAGTCAGAATGGTCTTTAGGACTGGCACCCATGACTACATAATCTATGCACTTATTTCCCATCATTGGGGCTCACCTTCTTACACCCAGAAATCAAGATACAGAATTGATTTAATAGAGGATACTTGGTGGTTATGTTTCAAACACCAGGGCAAGTATTGCACTCTATGTAGCTGTTCTGGAGGCTTGATTGGATTCTTCTTTGAAAAAGGTATCCTAACTCTCCCTTTTTCCTGACCCATTCGCTTCAATTTCTTATACAGAAGTTACTACTTTTCTTTCTTTCCTCTAGGCTTCTGCTCTTACTGTATTTCTGAGCTGAGAAGAGAGCAATTCTCTTTCTCTGAACTTTAAGCTCAAAGCTGCTAGGCTCCCAAGTTGAAGATCAAGAAAGAGTCTTCATATATTGGGAAAAGGAAGATGTGGTCACTGAACTGGTTTACTCCAGTCTCCACCATTTATATTCTAAAGGGGAAAAGCCTGAAGCCTACTGACATGATCATTTTCTCTTTCCAGGTCTTAGATTGGCACTCTTAGTTCCCATTGCCAAGTGTTTGTAGTTTGGGCACTTGTTTCTTTGATTTTGCTGAGTATGGTGAAGCCAGGGGTTTCACTGAAAGTTAAGGCCTTATAGGAGACTCATTACTGAGGTACAAACACCCAGTGCCCCTTTTTTGCCTAACACTAAGCCCACTGTCCCCCCCCCCAGGGATGCTCATCTCCTCTGTGGGCACGGTCACCAGTGCAGTACTTTGGGGAAGGGGATTCCATGTACAAGAGAAGAATCTTCCATCTCTGTGGTGACAGTAGGAACTTCCTTTGGGGAGTTTGGGGAGTACAGAGTGGAAGAAGTCAGACAACCAACTGTAGAGAGGGGTTCCCCAGGGTACCCACACCGGGAGGGGGGGAGCTCCTTTGCCAGGATGGAGACAGGGTAAGGGGGAGGAGGTCAGGCTAGGTGGAGCTATTATTCTTCCAGCACCCTGGCTCTCAGCCGGGCTTTCCTCAGACGAAATTCTCTACATCATCCTCCCCAGTTCCAACCCCTCCCCTCTCCACCCTGCCCCGCCCTGTGCCCATCCCTGCTGGCCACTGGGTCCATCGCCCAGGAACCACCTCCCCTTTCTCCTCCCCTGCGGTTCTTTCTGTTTTTTCTTTGGCATCTGGCCGGGCATAGCCACCACCCTCCCTCTACTCTCCCCACTTCCTCTTGCTCCGCAGAGGTCCTATTCCCGGTCCCTTTCCCTTCCCCCACCCAGCCCACCTCTGACAGGCCCAGGAACAGAGGAGGAGGATGCATTCCTTTAGTCCCTCCACTGCCAATCCTCCCTTCTCCGGGGACCTGAGGCTCTAAGCTGGGGCGCCCTTCTTATCTCTACACAGTTCTTCAAGCCACCCTGTTAACCACCAACAGCCCTTAAGAAGGCTGAGATGCCCCCATAGCGCTGACCTACATAGCCTGGACTGGGGCGGGAGGGGCTCTTCCCCAAGTCCCCTCTCCCTTGGCCCCGCCTCCTTTCTTCACCCCCCACTCCCTTCCTTCACCTCTTTACCTTTGCGTAAAGAGGGTTGAGTTGCAGACTGGGGCTAAGAGGCTAGTCTGCTACCCCACCCTAAATTTGGAAAATTGATGTTCAGCCCAGGAAAGCTTTGGGCTTCCCATCGATCCTTCTCCCCAAATATCTTGCTCTCTCCTTTTGCTGCCCCGCACCCAAGTATAGGTTTCCTTTCCCAGATTTTGCCACCACTAGGACTAGAGCCAAACTGGAGCCCCCACCGCCCTGTGTTGTTGTTTTGCTTCAAGGAGAAGACCCCTCTCTTTTGCCCACGCCCCCCTTGACAGCCTCACCCAGGCCCCCTTCCCTGCCCACTCAGAGCTCCGCGGCGGGTGGGGGACGCGCGGGGGAGCAGAAATGTTTGCATACAGCAGTTTGGGGGATCGTTCTGGCTACCCAACCCCTACAGACATACATACACAAACACCCAACACACGCCCTGACTGAAACAGCGACAAATCTCACTCCGCCCCCAACACACACTGACACAGACATACACACAGACTCTGACACAGAAACGCAGCACCAGACACCAACATAGACGCGCACACCCAGACACACACGGACATCAACACATCCAGACCCAGGGTGCTCAAAATAGACAGCAACCCCCCGAGATCCAGACCCTTGCTGCACACGCAGACACACACAGTTGTCCGTGCACATAGGAGGGTGCACACGCCGGCACACCCCACGGTCCTCAGAGACAGCGATGCTCAGAGACAGACACAAGGGTATTCCAAGAGGCTGGCGACTTGAACCTTCGCTTCCAAACAAAGCCAACAGGCTTCCTGCACCCGAATCCCAATCTGAACCCCCACCTCGGGGCTCTGGTCACCTCCCCTGGCGCCGCCCCCTCCCTCACTTACCGTCCTGGGAAAGATTGGCCCCGCCGGGCGCCCAGAAGCAGGCGAGGATCAGGACCAGCGGCAAGGCGGAAGGGGCCCCCATCGCGCTTCCTGGCCGCCTCCCCGGCTGGGCGCTGGCGAGCCTGAATCTCCGGGGACTGGGGCCGGGGGCACTGGGTAGACCGCGTCGCTGTCCAAAAGGGCGCCCCCGGAGCGGCTTCCAAGCCCGGGGCCGAGGCGGGTACCGGGAGGGAGCCGGCGCTGCTGCAGTCGCCGGGATTAAATAGGGCGCTCGGAGCAAACCATTCGGTTGGAGGTGGAGGGGGGGCGACGGGGGGCTGGGCTTGTGGCGGGGGGGCCTAGATGCCGCATTCTCTACTCCCCCCCGCCTCCCACACCCCCTCCGCGCTTTTGTGGTGCCTTCCATCTTCTCCCCCGGGAGCTCCTCCCGTGCCACTCGGGTGTGGAGCAAAGAGAGGGAGCTGGTACAGCAGTGGGACCCCACGCGCACCCCTTTTAGGCTTGGGGTGGAGAGAGGGGAGGTGGGCAGGGCGGTGGGCCAGCTGGCGAGAGCGTCCACTGCAGGCCTGGGCAAGGGCGTGCCCACTAGCCAGAGGTCCTCTGGCCCCGCCTTCTCCTTAGGCAACCGGGATCCCCAAAGCTAGGGTACCCCTATCAGCAGTGTGACCAAGGATACCTCCCCAGGTTACTACTTACTCTGCTCATTCTCCCAAGCGTTAGCTTCCTTAGTCCCTCTTCCTCGAGACCCTCTTCTTATCTGTCCAGCACCAATTTGTGGCTCCAGGCAATCTCCTTTGCGAAGCAGACCCCAGGAGGCCACAGGACTTGGTTTCCCTCAAGTCTTCTTCAAAGACATCATCCCAAATATTAAACCAAGGAAGTATCCTGCAAAGTAACTTGGCACATCATTCCTTGATGCTTTCTCCTGGGCCCCTTTAGCCCAGCTAGCCCTTCACTATCCCTTCTTCTAGGTCTTTTTAGAGACTCTTACCCTCTCAACTTTTAGCTAGTAAGGACCCACGGTGAAAGGCAGACCCACAAACCCTCTTACAGACCAAGAAGCAGTGTGAGGAATGCAGCTCTTGTTTCCAAGGCTATATAGAAGATGAATGAGAAAGACAGTGTTTGCACTAGCTCACACTCAAGAGTCCCAAGTCCCTAGTGTTTGCTCTTCTTCGAGGTTATCTCTGAAAGAGTTTTTGGTATGTTTCAGAAAAGGGTCTTTCTGGGTTAGTTTTTTTGGAATTTAGCTTTGGGGAATAAATTTTTTTTTTAATTTTAGAATCAAAAACTTAGGCGATTTTATGTATGTTAACAGTTCTTTAAACACACACACACACACACACACACACACACACACACACACACACACACACACAAACAAAACAAAACCAAAAAAAAAAAACTGATCTTACCCAAGGAAGAAGTTAGCAGATCTAAGTCAGGTTTTATATTCATTCAGAAATGGAAGACACAGCACTGAGCATCATATGGAAGGGTATATGAATGCCTCATTCTAGAAGTGGGATGTGGGTGTCTCTAATAACACTCCCAGTCCATTTTCTATGCTGCCTTCTTGTGCTAGTCTTTAATGTTTGGGTAATCTTTCCTTCCCTATGTCAAGGTTTCTTAACTCTTGATGGTGATACAGTTAATGTCCCTGTCATCTAAGAACCTGAGGACAGCCTGCAGAAAACTCTGTAACAGGTAAAACCTTGTCTAAATGACAGGCAGCGAAGTTGGGGCTGAGAGTACATTGTTCAGGGAACCCCTGCAGGCTGGTCTGGGTCTGCTCTGATATTTTTCTCTATTTCTGGAGTTTATAGTTTCTAGAGAAGAAATGTGCATTGCCTCTTGGATATTTCTTGACTGTCTGGGTGGTTATTATTTTTTCTCTAGACAATATTGAACAAAGTCTGATTTGACCTGCGTTGGCGACTCTAAATCACTTTGCCTCCCTGAGATCTCTACTATCTTGAAATCTGAGCAGTGAAGATGGAGCAGCATATATTATAGGGACATGGAGACATAAGAGAAGGAGGAAACTGGACAGGGTAAAGGGAGATTGTAGGAAGATGACACTTCTTGATGAAGGTGAGACCGGGTTGATATGAGATTGGTTATGATAAGAAAAGGAAGGAGTGTGGTAAAACAAAGTAAAACAAAACAATCAGCTTTGTTGGGAAAATCAGGCTTTTCTAGTTAAAGGTTCTTGATGTATAAAGAAATGTTAGTCTTAGCTATTAATTAACTAAGTGGGATTTAGAGAAGACAGGATAAGGGGATGTGGAGGTGAGTTAGGTGGGCATAGGCTGGAAGTGGGATTAAGCCCCCAAAGTCCTTTAATTAACTATCTTTCCCATCTGCTGCAACACAGCGCGATCCCCTTCTGCCTGTCCTTAATTCTCTGATGACTGCTGTTCTGGCCCCACCCTCTACTGTAAGGGGTGGGTACCAGGGCTGGGAGGGAAGGAGAGCTGTTTTGAGAGACAGTATTAAGGCTAGCAAATGAGACTCTGAGATGCTCTTTTCCCACTGGCTCCTGTTCCCTTCGTTGTATCATCAGCATGAGTTTGGCAGCCTTTTAGGTCTTGGTAATATTAAGTTGCCATTGGCTTTTAGAATTATGGATTAAAAAAAAAACATATTAGAGCTGCAAAGGACCTTCAAGATCATACATTTAAATGAAGTCTTTGTTGAACAAATGAGGAAAATGAAGCTTAGAAGCCAAGTGGCTTTCTGTGCCCAACAGCAAGCTAGTGAAGGCTGTCAGAACTGGGTGAGAGACATATAGAAAGTACCCTTTGAAGGCAGGAAGGATGAAGAGAACCAGACCTAGTAACTGAGAGCAATGTCCAATTTTAAGAGTTCCCTTCTCCTGTTTACCTCAGAATGGTAGTTTCTCCTATACAGGATGCATCCCACTTAGAAGAACCCATTCTCTACAATTCATCTATTGCCCTGTCTGCATCAGTCCCTTGCATCTTACATGCATGTTATTTGCTTAGGAAAGGGGCTTTACGAGGAAAGACTGACCTACAAAATCATCCTATCATAAAAATAGGTAGAACGTAAGTATCTATGTCGGATTGTGATCTCTATGGTTACTCTCCACTTGAAAATGCTATGGCATGCAATTTGCATTTCTCAGAGACTTCCATGAGGTCTGAGGTGGGTTGTCTGTGGGATGACAGAGTTGGCAGCTACAGTGAAATTTGGGGATAGCCAACATGGGGAACAGAGAGAGGGTGAGTGTGGCTGCCTGAATGCCCTGTCCACTCAGCAACAGCCTGGGTATCTGGGGGTGTGGAATGTGAAACTGGCACTAATATTGGGCTAGACACAGTTGTGTGGGCCCTGGGCATTCCTTCCCCACGCAGCTTCTGCTCCAAGGGGAGAAAGAAGGAACTCAGCTTGTAGAAGGTGAGTTTTATGTGTTCACTTGGGAGGTACCAGCTGCACCTATAGGGAAAATCATCTGAGAAGATGTGACCCAGCAGTCACTCAGGTCCCTCCTGGCACTATGACCCTTCTCCTGTCTGTGGCTTTTATCAGCAGACTCTATGCAGCGTCCCACGCTGCTTTCCTCTTCAATTTTCCACCCAACTAAACCAGTACTTGGCAATACCACCCCTTACTTCTATTATCCGGTTTTAATTAACACCATCCTTAATAATAATCTCAGTACGAATTTTAATTCTAACCTTAATTGAATTCTAATTTTAATCCTAACCCTAATCTATTAAGGATTCTAACTACCAGTCCTAATAGCAGCCCCAACTTAATTATTAGTTTTTAACTAGTATCTTCACTCTAACCAGTCTTGAGCTGATGACCAAGAAAGCAAGGTGCACAGGATTGAAAAAAAAAAAAAAAAAAAAAAAAAAACGGCCATAGATCCCACGAATTGAGAAGCCATCATTTACAGCCTTCGTGATGAATGCTTTATATATACATTATCTCATGTGGGTACCAGAAGCTACCTAAAGTGGTTGGATTTACTAGTTTCCTTTCCCATGCAGAACAGGGTATAACATTATATTTGTAATCAGTGGAACTACATCCAGGACTGCTTGATCCATGACTCTGTGCTCACCTCCTCTTCGCCAACAAGTAATTCAGATCCATCTTCTCCTAAAATCTTAACTAATACCCACTGGCTTGACTGGTTTCATATTGTTTTTAAATAAGTAACAGTATGAACTAGAGATCAAGAAAATTACAAAATCCTTACATGTCCCTGCCCACAGACCCTATTGGCACTTTGAAACATTAAAGTAATTTATTGATGAAGTTAAAATATTCAGACTATAGAAAGAAACTAACTGCAGAGAAAAGCTTCCTTGCCTTCGCCTTCTCAGAGTAGCCATATTGCACAACCCCAGGGGGCATCGTTCTAATTGGAGTTGTGTAACATGGCAGCACTGCCTCCCACAGCTTTCCAGGCAAGCAGATAAAGTCAAGGTAAATAGCTACCAAATTAAATCGCCCTGTGTATGTGTATGACTTAGGCATGACAATCACTAGACACTTCGAATTTATAATTAGCAACAACTATTAAGGGCCAGACTCTCAGCTAAATTCTTTACACTTATTACACATTTTAATATTCACATGTCCTCTGTGCAGTATTCATTACCTCTGTTAAAGATGCCTGAAGAATCCCAGTTACACAGTGATGGAGAATAACAGACACATGCAAGCCTCAAAGTCTACATTCCTAACTTTGTGCTTAGCTAGAAAAGCTGTTCAGGGCTTGGCTCTGAAGGTCATGTGGGCTTAGTTCTTAATGTCAGAGAAGTGGAGTTGCCTGACATTAGACAAGAGGATGACCTATGAGGCTGTCGATAGACTCAGATTGATATAGGAGGAGACTATGCAAGGGGGAAAAGACCTGAATTATTACATTACAGAGGGAAATGAGTAAAGGTGAGAGTGAAGAAGGGAAATAGAACAAATAGGAACAGAGACGGGGGAATTGTTTTGTGATAAATTAAAGCAAAAGCAAAATCATATAATAAATTTGTATGTCACCATTGCTCCAGCTGCAGGCTGATTGATGTATTGTGGAAAGACAGCAGACATATATAATCACCTGCAAACAAAAATGCACATTTTCAGTTACATGGGGGATCAGTAGCCTCTCTAGTGATATATTTCCATGTTGTTCTCCTTGAGTCTGTGTTCCAGAAATATCAAGCTGCTTGTAATTTCCCCAGCACACTTTGTTGTTTCATGCCTCAGTGTCCTTGCACATACTCTTCTGTATACCAGGATTGCCCATCTCATCAAGTTTGATGAAAATTGTGTTTATCCATCCAACTTTGATTAGGTGCTACCACCTGTGTAAAGCCTTCCACCTGAGGCTAATTGTGTCTCTCTGGGTGCTACCATTGTATTAAATATATACTTCAACTATTA